ATGCTCCTTAGGATGGTACACCTGCCAGTGTTGCGGCTCCCCCTTCACCCGATCCTCTACAGTAGTATGGGCACCAGACATATCAAAGGCGAAACAAGACGGGGTGGACAGGGGCTCTTCGGCCACCCACTCCTCGACGGGGAGAACCCTCTCGTCAAAATCTGGGACTTCGGGCTCGTTGTCTTCGACCATCATCCCCGGTATCAAGGCCGACATGAACACTTGAAAAGCAGAGGATAATGGTGAATTTGATAGCCAAGATCAAATCCACCCTTCCACCGCAGGTCAAGTGAAAGGGCGATGGCCGCGGGCCCACGAACAAAAGACAAACGCCCGGGCAGGCCCCGAGGGGCATTCCTCGCCGCTTTTCCTTGGGGCATTCAAAGCTAACCTATCGCCCCTCCCCGGGGGGCTTCATCGGAGGAAGCGCCCATCCCCGGGGCATTCATCGGAACAGTCGGTCCTCCCCGGGGCATTCATCTAAACAACCCTAAAAATCCACAAGATACGGCGGAAACTCGCATCTCTCCTCGGGTCATTCATCGTGCCCCGACCACAGACCCAAATTAAACGGCGAAAATAAAAGAAGAGAAGAAGAAATCTCACTTTATAAACGGTGAGGGACGGGATGCGAAACTAACGGCGCGGCGGCGATTCACAGCAACGGCGGACGGGGAAGAATTACAGAGCTTCGCAGGTGAGAAAAGCAAGGTGAAAAGTAAAAAGTGCACGGGGACCCCATACTTATAACCCGGCGCAGAACTCGAAGCGACAGTAGGCCTTTGAGTGCCCTAGGGTAGCCACCTTCACGCCCGCTCGGCGCGTGACACGTGGCGGAAAGCTGACAGTCGCGTCCTTTCAAATGCCTCCGCCCCGCGCACCCGGCGACATGATGAGACCCTCGCGCACGCGCGCCCAGCCGAACACAAGCCTGCGGGCCTCTGACCTCGCTATCTCCTTCCCCGAAGCAACGATCTCAAGTCCTCGCTCTCCCGCCGAAGAGCTTCGACTTAGGGGGCTCCTGTTCTGGCCTGGGCCCGGCCTCACCTCGCGGCCCAGCCCAATGATGCGCAACCAAGGCCGAATATGATTTAATTAGGCTGGCCGGGCACGCGACCCCCTCGACGAGCAGGATATGCTCCCGCCGAGCAGGACGGCGTGCCTCAAGGCGCTCTCGGCTCTCTCCCCTCGTCGGGCAGAACAGCCCTCCGCGGGCAGAATCCCCATGCCACGAGCAGGACAACGCGTCTTCCCCACGTCCTTGTGTGTTCCCCTCCGCGGGGAGAACAACACACCTCCGGGAAACCTCGCGAGCTCCCCTCCGCGGGGAGATCAACGTGCCAGTCGCACGTTCTCCACGTGCCCCCCTCTGCGGGGACACGTCATCCACCAACTGCCCACCTCCGAAAGAGCATGTCAAACCCACTTTCCGAAGATCACGGGACAGCTGGACTAGGGCGAAGACCACGTCTTGGTCTTGACTGCGCCACATAAGCCCTAGCAGTCACCTGAGTTGGGCCTGGCCATCCAGCCCAACCCAAGTGACCGTTGACCCAGCGCTGGGGTCTCTCTATAAATATCATCTTCCACAAGAGGGTCAGGGAATTCATTTCTTACCCCTTTTCTGTACTTTGCTCTCACTCTGCCCAATTCCTTACTTTGCCATCAGAGTGTCTTTCAGGTACACCCCCCCTTCTCCTCCTCATCACCGGTGAACAGGTAACAGTCTAACAGAGTGTGGCTAGCCCGTGATCCACTTCTGATCAGGTCAAATTATTTTATATTTCAAAAATTATTGATTAAACACGTTTAACATGACTCTTTATTTAAACAACTATATAGAAATAATTATATTGATATTTTTATAATGGATTAATAACCGTCATATATGCGACTTCCGTTTATCCCATGTAAAAAAGCAAAGTTGATAATATGTGAAAATAAAAAATAAAATAAAAAAACGGGGCAATCAATAAGAATTGCACCGATAAGCGCTCCACAAAACTTTTACCATTCAGGCATTTTTGTTCTTTCGTCAATATATTTCATTTAAATTTATATATTATAAAACTGTGTAGAATTATCTAAATATTTAGAAAGTTATTATTTTAAAATAAATTATTTTAAAGTTAAGTAATTTAATAAAAAATTATAAAAAATGTATATATTAAGTTTCTTAAATTATAAAGATTCTATTTTTTTTATTAAAAATTAATTTTAGTTTTTTATTAAAACTTTTTTATTAAATAAAAATATAATATGTGGAAAAATATAATGTTAATAAATTAATATTTTATTTAACTTATCTATAATACTTATCTATATTTTAAATTAATATATATTTATCTATATATTAACTTTAAATTAATTAATTGTAAGATAATTTATTTTAAATGTATATATTACAAAAAAAAAAGTGAAAGAAAGTTACTAAATGTGTTTAAATATAAATATGAATTATAATGTGTTCCAAAATTATTTTTAATTATTTATGATTTAACTGCGTTTAAGGGAAAATTATTTTTAAATTTAAAGGAAAGTTATTTGACATGTTCAATGAAAGACAAAAGAATAATTGCATTGAACATCTATTAATTCATAACATTCTCTCTTAAATATTCGTTGATGATATGTCTTGTTAAAACCTTATTAGATAAAACATAATAGAAAAAATTATAGTTAAAAAAAAAAGTAGAAATTCCTTTCTAAGGAAAGTGCATAGTTAAAAACATTACTATAAAAATTCAATGAGATAAAACCATGGTGAAAGAAAAAAGAGTATATAATCTATTTAATTCTCCCCCTCAATGGAACAACCATCTCTTCAATGTTGAATAATAAAATTTTGTAATAGTTGGCTAAAAGTTTTACTTGACTAGATGAAGTTGTTGCCATAGATTTATTCACATATATCTATACAATGGTTGTACCACCTCAAATAAACCAGTAATATGTTAGTGATATACAATTACGAGGATTTCACAAGAAACTTTCAACTCTAAGGCAGTGATGTATATGTCTAACTTTGTTTTAATATTTTCGTGTAGGTAAAGAACTATATCATAATGTGTATATATTTTCAAGGATGATTAAATATGAAATCTTCAAGAATTTATCCATGATAAACCACTTTAAAAATATAATGAATTAATTAAACAAAATTTTCAATAGAATTTTATACAAAAATATAATAGATTAATACGTTAAATTTAATTTACAAGATGAAGGAAAAAAATATTAAACTTACTCTATAGAGAAGAAATAAAGTCATACAAATTGATCATAAAATCACTCACATAAAAGAGTTTCGTGCTGATAATTTATTGTAAAATAAAAAAAGTGATGGTCAGAATTTTAAAAAATAAATAAAGAGAATGAAGATTAAATTAAAATAAATAGAATTTATATTATATTATTCTCAAGTGTAACTTTACATAGCAATTTAGGTCCTATTCATGAAATACAAATAGTAGACAATAAATCAATACACTTAAGACAATTCATATACATTTAGTAGAGGAGGTTTATTGGAGGACAAAAGAACAATGACATTGAACATCAATTATTTGATAACAATTTCTAATTTATAAGTTCAACATTTTTAAATAATCTTACATACAAAATTCAGAATTTATAAAAAAATATATTTATAAATATTAAATTTATGAACATTAAGAATTAAAGCACCATGAGGACACGTATACTGCCATGAGGACTTGGGTTCAACTCTGGTGTTGGCAAAATTTTACTTGTTTTTTTTTGTAATAATTTTAATAATTGTTAAGATCAAAATAATTAAAAAAGAAAATTAATAAAAAATTTAAAATTAATTTTATATACATTAAAAAAAATTATGGATTTAAATTTAAAAAATAAATAATTTATTATCAAATATAAAATAGTTTAAACAAAAAAATATAATAAAAATATGAAATATGACAAAACATTACATAATATATTAATTTTAATAGCAAAATTAATCATAGCATACAAGTCTGCCTAATAGTATGTGCCACTTGTAAGGAGTATCAAAGTAATTGGTTCAAGTCCCTCTGTTCTCAAAATTTTAAAAGTTTTGAAATTCGTAAAATTTCAAAACTTAAAATAATAATTAAAAAATGGCATTTAAAATAATTTAAAATAAAATATTATAAATCTAAAATAATTAAAAAAAAATGATAAAATTACCTTAGTATTTTGGGAATTAAAAAAAAAATGAAAATGACAAAATAATCTAAAATTAGTATATATAGTAGAGGGTAAATTGATATTAACCCTTTCATAATTTAAGATATATGTTATTAAGAAAACAATAATTTTATAATGTATTATTAAAAAATTATTATTTAAAAAATTATTATTTCTTTTAAAGACAACTTAGTTACTAGATACGAGAATACATGGAAAATGTGTGTGAGTTTTTTTGGATACTTATTTGACCCAAATAATATTTAAATAATATATTATAAAAATTAAATAGTAAACACTATTTTGACGGAATATACTTTATTAAAATAAGGCAAAAATATTTTATAATATTATTCAATAGAAATATATCATTATATTTTATTAGTTTAAATATTTTAATATAATTTAGCGGAATGAATGATTGTCATTGGTTTACGGTATAAAAAAATTTACACTGTCAATGCATTGTTTTTTTTTCCTTAAAATAAATATATTTTTTTGATTATAAATTTTTCTAAGTTCATTATACATAATACATAGATGGAAGGCAAGGTGGAATACATAATAAAAACATTTATTGTAAAGTTTTATTTTAAGAATCTAAAGTGTGTATATATTTAAACATTTAGATCTTGTATTTAATAAAAGTCATGTATTAGGTATCATAATAAAAAAAAAGAATCTGGCTCTAATCCCATCTAGTTTCATCTCAAATCTCTCTTTATAAATAGCATAACAAGAGTTTCAAGAAATGCATAATAAACAAGTTACAAAATTTCATCTTGCAAATTTTTTTTTTGATATCATTGATCATGAGTAGAAAGAAGGTGAAACTTCAATACATAATCAATCAATCAAATAGGAGGACAACCTTCAAAAAAAGAAAAACAAGTTAGAGATTAGCAACTTCTTCTTTTCAATCGTATTAATCTTTCTTGATTATATATCATTATATCCTCTAACTATATTTGTTTTTCAATATTTTTCAATAGATTTAATCAAGAAGGTTAGGGAAATCAGCACCCTCTGTGGAATAGAAGCATGTGTAATAATCTATGGTGAAAATAGTGTTCAACCAGAGGTTTGGCCACTTGGTCCAGGAACACTAAATGCGATATGCAAGTTTCGTGGTGTTCCTGAATTCGAGCGAAGCAAAAGGATGATGGATTTGGAGGATTTCTTGAAGAAAAGCATAGAGAAATCCCAGGAGCAGTTGAGAAAACAAATTTTGGAGAACAAGAAGAAGAGATTTACTAATTTCATTGATAAAGCCCTTATGAATCAATATAACAATACTGATCCTGTGAACTTTAATGAACTCAATGATTTTGCGAATATGAATGAACTCAATGATCTGGCAGAATTTATCGATAACAATATCAAGAAAGTTGAAAAGGAGTTGAATTCAATGCATGTTGAAGCCCAAGAGCATGTTGGCAATGAAATTGAAGCTATGACTGGAATAGAGCAGCAGGAAAATGTTGGAAATGCACAAACTATGGTGAATGGAGGAAATGTGCAGGCTGATGTCCATGGTTTGGATAGGAACATGGGTTATGATATTCAAAGAGATTATCAGTATCTTCCATGGGACTACTCTGTGTTACCATATCATGATTATAATATGGACATAGATGGCCTTTGATCTTACTGGTCCATGTCTTTCTTGAAATACATTGCTATAGTTTTGTGTGTCTTTGTATTGTGTTTTGTTTTAATTAATGTCTCTTTTGTTTCTGTTTGTTTGTTTGAGTCAATGTGTGTCTGTGTCTGTGTCTTATGGTAGTTTTCACAGTGTTCATGATTAAAACATGATCATCAATGGAATAATAGTTGTTTAATTTGTTTTGTTTTTCAATGATTGATTTCTTAAATTTTATTTTCGTCTCCCATTTAATTATGTGTATTTTTCATTAGCAACATGGATACATATTTAGTTTTCAATAAACTAACAAGTTCTTATATTTATTGAAATTTAAGAACCCAATATTCAAATCTTGTTTAGATTTAATGGAAAAAAAATTAAACTCTTGCAAATATTCCCCTATACGATTTCACAAATCAATGTCATACAATAATGACCACTATCACAACCTCGTTCGCAACAATAACTAAAATCAAAGGCAATGGTTCAGCCCGTCCTTAGGACTCTACCACTAACGCAGTCTTCAAGCTCAAATAAATAATTTTAAAATATTTTTAGTATATAGAATAAGACACAAAATATGATAATTATATTATATATTGTTTCAATGTATTGTTTTGATAAAATAACAAGATATGATAACTTAATCATGATATTTGTTCCATCAAATCTCTAGTTTAAATTTTTATTTTGAATTTAAGATAAGTACTTAATAACTTAATCATGACATTCGTATATAATAACTTATTTTGTTCCATCTGGAAGTATTGTTTTGAATTTAAAAATATAACTTAATCATGACATTCGTATATAATAAAAAAATAATTTATTATTTTATATCTATAAAATATAATTTAAATATAAAAGGTTAATTTTTTTATTACATAAATAAAAAATGAATTAGAAATGAAATTAAAAGATAACTCATTTTTATGAAATTAGAATATTTAAAAAAATTTAATTTTTTTAATAAATCAAGATCAAATTTTTAAAAATTCAAAATATATGTATGATATTCTTAGATATGATAGTTTTATCATTTTCATTTCATAAATATTGTATATTTATTATCTTACCTGACTAGGGAAGGCCACTAATAGACTTGACAAGTTCCTTTTGTTTGATGGTTTGATGACTTAGTAGGCCATACTTCCAGATGTTTTTTTTATCACTTCACAGTTATTATTTGTTATGTCAATCAGTTGTATGGCCTAAGTCCTTTATATTTAACAATCAGTGAATAGCGCATAACCTGTTTTATCAGTTGATTAGTCTTGTTAGGAGGATAACCTTATATCTTTGGGTTGGAAGGCCTTTGCTCTAAAAGTGAAACCTAAGACCCTTAAGATTGTTTTGAAATTTTGGAATACGGAAGTTTTTGAAACCCTGAAATAAGAGATTAAAAATTCGGACTTAAAAGTTGAAAATAGTGATTTTCGGCTTAAAGAGATAGTAGTTAGGCCTTGGGTTATTTGTTGGAGTAAGTTTTAATAGCCAAACAATATTGATTGTGTTTACTTTTGTATCATGACTTTGATATACACATTTGTTAATTTATATATTTATTGTGTTATTTGTATATGACATAATAAAGTTCTTATAATAATTAGTTCGTTTAATGACTTAATAAGTGTGACTTAATCGTGAGAATTCACTAAATATAAGAAAATTATTCTTAGAGTATCCCTAGTCAAGTTAACTGCCACATAAGACAATAGTGATGCATATAGACTATTATATTAGTAGATTGATAATTGTATTTCATGGGTCATAGATATGAGATATCAAGTCTTCACATAGGTATAAATATAAAGAGTAATATTTATTCTGGTTCGCCCCACAATGAGAATACTACATAGTTTGTTATGTTAGTGTCATAATTTGATCTCATAGACATAATGCACTACTAAAGAGTACGCCTAACGTAACATGTTACTACCTCCACTATTAAGCCAACTCAAGTAAGCGCTCTTATTAAGGTGACTATAACAGTTTTTCTTTTATTAAAATATATTTTACTACGGTCCTTATTAATAACTGTAGTCATATGTTGAGGCATACATATACTTAGAATCCCAACACCACCAGTTTTCTTTCTTTTTTCTTTTCAAAATGGGCATTTCACTTAAAATCTTAATATGTATATTAAAATTAAAATACCTTTTACCATAGTGTTGCAACTGCAAAAAAAGAAGAAAAGAAAAACAACCGGCGGAAATTGTAACACCCCAAGTTCTTGGAATATTTATTTAATTTATTTAAATATGAATATTCGTATTTTTGGTGATTTTCGGTGGTTGGTGTGAATATTGAAAATTATGAAGTTTTTAGTTATTTATATAAATAATAGTATATAGTATGAATATATTGGTATTATTATTAATTTAAATAAATATAAGTGAATTGAGGGTAAAGTGGACATTTGAGGAGGAGTTAGTAAGGGTGAAATTGGAAAGCTCATTTTAAGGCCCAAAGTTAGGTTTAACAAAAAGGAATTTTGAGGGAATTAAGATTCATTTTTGTTAGACCGTGAAAAGGGAAGAAATAAAGGCCCGAGCTCTGAGGAAGAGGATTGAGGCAAAGCTTCACGAGGTTTCCAAGAGTCAAGGAGAAAGGCTTAGAGTCGACAATTAAAGTATGGGGAGTATTGTCTTCATTGTTTTCAATACGTGATTCAATGTGTTTAAAGCTTATTTAAGGGTTTAGGGATTTTGAGTATTGAACTGTTGTTGCTTTTCTGGTGAGTTTAATGAGTTTGAGAGATTTGAATTGATGGTCTGATAGGTTTGAGGCTTATTTGAGAGTAAGGGAAATTAGGCCTTCATGGTCAAAATTTGTTGTGATGTTTTAACCGTATAGGGTAATTAATTATGAGAAATTTAATGACTGTTGAGTATTTGTAAGGATTTTATGGGAATTGAAGGCGTAAATATGATACGGGATTGGCCTAATAAGTCGTAGATATTGTGTCTTTATCGCCGTAATACCTTAGGACTGATTGAGGGATGTTTTTGGGGCATTGGGGAAGGAAATCGTATGGACCTTTGGACTGATTTTGCTACTCTTGCATAGTAGCAATTTGCTGTAATCGCGAGTTCTCACAGCGAAGGATGCTTCGTACAACGAACATTTGTCCCAGACTCGCACGACGAACTTTCCAGCGAACATAGCAGAGTTTCGCGAATTATGTGTTGGTTCAGTGATGTCTTGATGTCTTGATGTTGTGATTCATATGTGATTAAAAGAATGTATAATGAATTACTATGAGTATAACTGTGATTCCTATGCGATTAAATGAATGTGTGATGAATTACTATGAGTATAGTTGTGATTCCTATGTGATTAATACATAACCGTATGATGAGTACCCATGAGTAAAATTGTGATTCTTATGAGATTAATACATGATTGCATGATGAATCCCCATGAGGAACTGTGATGATTTGTGACGTTGATTCCATGAGTTTTGATGATTCTATGATGACGTGATTCTTATGATTATATTGATGAATAATGATGCACCTAATGAGATTATTATGAGGATGATATTGACGTGTGCATCATGCATTCATATGCACTCCAGACTTCGGTCTTGGACCTTGATTCTTGTGGCTTCAGTCCCATTATGCGGATGTGAGGTATTTTATTATGCTCCGGTTCTCGTGTAGAATCGATCCTACTGTTGTGGATCTATGGAGGGTTGATGGCTCAATGTCCATCGAATTTTGTTGATTGGTCCCACATGCATGATTCTTGTTGCATTTGCATTTATGTGACAATTTGGTGTAATTTATGATATTATGGCTTTTTGATGTTTCCTTGATGATTATGATGATGTTGAATATGAAAATGACGATATTTTATATAGTGATTCCTATATTGATTATTATGAATCGTTTTACTCACCCTTATTGTTTGAATGTTACCTCCACGTGGGTAACGTGCAGATGACCAAGTTTAGTCGTGGATGCCGTCGAGGACTTTTTGGAGTTTTTGACATTTTGGTTGACTTAGAGGGTTTTGCTCTGATAGTGTAACATCGGGTTGGGGTCCTTGAGTTAAACCATGTTTTATTGATTATTGTTAGTTTGATTAAGTTACCGCGCAAGGAAAATTTTGGATTTTTGCCTTTTTGAGTTCTGTTGCCTTTTGAGTAATTTTGGGAAAACTCGTTGTTTACGAAGCATTGACTATATTTGAATTATTGAGAAATGTGCGCCCTTTTGAGATGATTTTATTGTGTTCAATATTTTACTCTGATAAATATGATTGATTTGCCATTATATTTTTGGGGTAGAAAATGGTGTTACATTAGTGGTACTAGAGCAGGTCGGTCCGTCCGGCCAAGTTATCTAATGTTGTTTTTTCCCTAGTATGTGACATGTGTGTGAAAACGCTGTCGGTACACGTTTGTTTTCTAACCTTTGTCTGAAGAAGTGTGAATGAAACAAGTAGGGGAGAAGCATGTGCTTCTCCAGGATGCTTCAAGTGTGGAGTGGTGGCTCAGCGTGTCGATGAACGCTCTTATAGTTTGGTAAAGATGGTTTATGCTCCATCATAATTTTTGGTTGTCTATTGACAAATTGAGGAACTGATCACCTTTAATCTCTTGTTGATAGTAGACGGAGTCGTGTTGGATGGAATAAACGTGTCTTGCAAGCTTAGATGGCGTGTGTAGTGAATTGCTTTGAGTTAAGCGAAGTGCTTAAAAATTATTTTGGTGAGTCGGTGCAGGATGGTGCTAAGATATTTATTTTGATGGAAAATTTGAGTGTTAATATATAAAGTGGGGAAGTTGGTGATGTGTCAATTATTTTTTATTATCTAGAAGTTTTTCCTGATGAGATAAGTGATTTACCGCAGGAACGTGAAGTGGAGTTTACGATCGACCTAGTTCCTAGAACTAGTTTGGTAGCGATGGCTCCATATCGTATATCCACACCGGAATCGAAGAAGTTGAAGAATCAACTTGAAGATCTGCTTGAGGAGAGGTTCTTTTG